CAAACCTTCCCTTTAGAGGTGGTCAGGAACCCAAATATCAAAAGCCCAGTGGCTGAACAGAAAGTGACTCTCACTTAACAAAAATGGCATTCAAACAACAAATACAACAGACCAAGTGAAACCACAAATGGTTCGGTTTACACAAAATTCAAAAACGGTGTGTGTAGCGCGACTTCAGTATTCGGCGGCACAGTATTAGACTCAAAGACAGCTTTCCTGCCTTTAGTTACTTTTATGATGGAGGGCTGTAAATAGGAGTTCGTCACATACCTTGGACTGAAACTTTTCATTTGAAACAAGTTCAAATAGCCACCGATGCACTGAAAAGTGTCTCAGCTACTACATCTAAATAAAGATTACTAGCAGTTGACATTATTGTCATACATCCCTACACTGAGTGCCATGAGCATGAATTAAAGGATTTTGGACGTGCTCATCAGTCCTTCCACGGGAAGGTAATTTACAACTTGATTCAGCCGCACATTCAGAATATTCCTTAAATACACATCACCTGGATTACTGCGGGTTCTAAGCTCTCAACGAGCCATATTCCGAAGTCACCTCTCGATAATTCACTTTTCTATCAAAGCATATACCCAAATTACTGACAATTAATGTAAACATGGGAAAAAAGAGGGTGTCACAGAAGTGCCAGAGGCCTGTGACAGCAGGAAAAACTGCCAATAAGTCCCGAGATCAACAGTCAGTATTTTCTGCCCGAACGACGTGACCTGAGTTTTATTGGAGGCCTGCAGTGATACGACGCCGTTTTGCTGTTCTAGGCTCTTGTTTATGGTATTACAGTGAGAGCAGCTCCTGTATCAACGAAAAGGTCTTCAACAGAGTTTTTGATACCGACGCATAATAAGCAATTTTCCGGGCAGTTCAACTGTACTGGACAAATAGTTTGGAAAACCCTCTTAAACGATCTATTTATAACTTTTATACCTATTTAGACATTTCAGCTAACTTCATATTTTGTATACACTTTTCGCCTAGACTGTAAGCCATCAATTTGACATTTGCGTACCATGCTCCGATTTTCGACCTCTATTATTCATCTTTGTCCTTGTTTAGTCTTTAATTGTAGTACTTCTTTGTGGTTGTATACATGATCAATATGCTGTTTAACGATACGATTTTTTTGGGTTCGTTTTGAAAGTCATTCTGACCTTGAAAGCATTAGTGAATGATTCTCATGGAGAGAGATTTTGATTCTACCTCGTTGGGAATATTTTTCTTGACTCTGGGGTGCGTTTTGTAATTGAACTTCGGTTAACTAACTTTGTCTTACAGTATTTGTTTTGTATTTAGGAACGTACTTTGTCTTTAGAGCTACCTCACGCACTATTGTGGTAATTTTGAGTTCGATGTTATTATTATTTAACAGAAGCACTTAAATATTGGAGGATAACCGTCTTTTTCCTGCCTTTGGAGCGTTTTGTGATAGTGCGCGTCTCAACGAAGTTTTACCGGCCATACGGTAAAACGAAGATAACAGCTTCTTGCATTCGGACGATAATTGAATAAATTCGTTGGCTACATCTACATAATAGTGGATTACTTGTTGATTTTTTACTTGTCAGGCGATCTAGGCCAGACGCATGGTTGCGTACATTTGTTTGATTGTACGCCAAGCTGCCGTATCAACAGAACTGTCTTGTTGACGTATTTCATCTCGATCTGCTTCCTGACCCCTAAAACCGTCTTCTAGGCGATCTATCACGACTGCTCTTGATTGTTATGTGGCCAGGCCTGCACTTTAACCACTTCGCCTTCTGACTTTTCAGCGTGGCCCGCCTAACCTGGTGGTCAGAATGCCCTTAACACCAACCCTAATTGTGGAGAGAGAATACAACATTTGCGGCTGCTCGTGAATATATTTTTTAACAATGGTATAGAGATAATCTATGGACACACCATCACACAACAATGTAGAAACCATGCTTTTATCCCTCGAAGTTACAATTAGCCTCAATGTAATTCCGTCGCCACAAGTAAACAAATCGATCTCTGAAGATTCCATTGATTAGACGAACTCCGTTGATCTCCACAGGTTGTCTCTCTATTATTCGGTCTGCAGTGCGTGTGAGATAATGAAGGATTAAGTCAGAATCTTGGCCACGCAGTATGTGCAGCACATACTCCAAGAACCCCCTTGTCCAGCCTCCCCGACCGTCCTGTGCCAGATATCTTTCATGCTCCCCCAGAAACAACTATTGTACGCACTGATTCTTAAGGAATAAGAGGCGGACTGTTACTTTGCACTCAAGTACCATGTATGGTTTCTCAGATGGAGGGTGAAGTAAAAATACTGCACCCACTCGTTTATCTTATAAGGTTGCTGACAACCCACGTTCATACATCTGGTGTTCTCAGGCCTAGAGTTATACTGGTCAGAGCAGTGCTCTAATTGTGCAAACCATAGTTCAGAACCATACCTACGAAATTCAATCAGTCTGACGTTCAAATTTACTAAGGCATCTACATTCACAAAAACACTGTTTCTAAACTTAGCCCACGCGGTTTGCGAATGAATTACTAGTGAACAAAAGTTAAACCAAAAATCACGCAGGAATGAAAACATACGAAGATAACCGAAAAAGAAAAGGTCATGTAAGAAGTGTGGCTACAATAATGAAATCAGTGTATAGTTAACAAATTAGAGTCATTGATTTAGCAGCTAACTATCCTACCTAAATAATTATAGCAAAAACACCTAGTGAGATCACGTACTTAAGATTAATAGCCTTGTTCTCGATGGTATCAATAAAACGTAGAGTTCCCAGCAGAGGTTATTGAATTTTATATTCTCTTCGCCTGTTATCTTCTGGGATAAGGGTTTTGTATGTACTGAACAAGTCGGCGAGTCTTCTAGTGGTATCATGGCTGTTAATGTTTATAATGAAAATCCTTGCTTTACTTGTTCATATTACTGCTTGTGTTGTGCTTACACACGTTAGCGGTTTTCATTTTACTGGTGAACGGCCATTCAGAAATATGGTTTCGTACTGTACCTGATAGTAGACCTGACCCAGTGTCACCCGACCTGAAGTGCAAACCAGTCGCTCATGATATTTTTCATCTGTCTCCGAAAAATGCAAGACATGAACTTGGAGACCAGTTATAAAGTGCAAGAGTGCATTTTGTGACCGGAAGACAAAAGAATGAATATGGTCCGCGGGTAGTTTGTTTTGTACTGAAAATATCAGGGGCAGTATTTTCATGTGGATAAGTTGATACCGATGATTACGCTCATTCTCAAGCCTAATAAGAACGTGCCAGTCAGTTCACTGGAGTAACCAATACCAATGGATGTAATATCTTTATAGATCAAAACAATGCATAGACGAGAAGTAAGATGTGATATAATGATGAAGCTTTTCGGCATCCTAAGTTTTAAGCAAGCCATTTGAAAGAGACTGTAATTCATGTTGAGCGCGTACTTCTTAGTCATGGAGTCAGTGATGTAATGTGGGGGAACCTGGTCAAATGCACTGAAGGGTACTCAACATTCAGAATCGTTCATCAAAAAAGCAGAACTTTACAAACTATTAGGAAAGTATGATTCATAGTTGGTAACTTGTCCCTCTAAATTCCTTGCTTACCTACACAGCGCTATGTAATGTTGGGACTTCATAACTCTCCGAATTCCTTACAGGAGAGAATAAATAATCTACTAAAGTCACCCAAAAATTAACTACGCACGTACTGACGGAATAATAACCATCTTGGGGGGACTATAAGATGCCTCGGATGGACAACTCCACAACAGAAGACAATTAACTCACTAGAAACCAATCATAAGCTGACTGGATGGCAAAGCAAGACATTATCACTGAACAGAGCATAAAATTACAATCAACTCCATAATTCAACTCCGGCGACTTCAAAAAGGCTTCCGATAGAGCCTACTGTGAAGCACTTAGACATCTTATTCAAAACTAAGGAGTGCCGCAAACCATTATTGGCCTCAGTCAACAGTTTAATGATCAAGTGGTTCACATCAGAAAACTCACTGAAGCCTTTGAAGTGAAGACAGGTGTAATTGATGATGAACACTGAGTGGGCGCTCAACGAAATTACTCGAAACAGTTTGCTGACCATTGAAGACAGCAATCCCTGCTGTGGCTCAGACGCCACTCGTTGACAGAAGACTGTAGCGATACAAGCTTTCTCAGTTTCTTGTCAAGATGCCACCCCATGGGCCCTACACAAACTCGCCAGACATCTTACAGGTCAGCATATCCTACATGTTCTAATCTTTCAAGCCACTTCTCTCTGAAATGTCACTAATATACTTCACGATAAAAAGGTACTCTTTTCATTCACATTCTTCGGTCAATTAAAGTCTGGTTGCTTTGATGAAGAAAAAACACAACAACAACACCCATGTTCGAAAATAACTGTATTTTCATCGAAAATATCATAGTTTCTATGGTAAGACCAGTATGGTTAGCATTATACATTGTAAATGTATACTATCATTCCAAATACTCTATAGCTTCTTCTCGTATTCATCTTGTAAATGTACTCTCAACAATGTATTATTCACAATTGCACTTTACACCATTTTGCAGCTTCACGGGACTTTCTCCTCTTCTTGAAATAGCTATTAATCACGCGGGGGCATGGAACTGATTATGAGCAGTAATAATTTGTGCTCGAAACGTGGTCATCAGTTAATATTACTGTACAACACTGTGTGATTTATCAAAATAAAATCTTATCCATAATGGAGTTATGCTCTACCACAGTGCCCAAGTTTTATACTTATATAGATAACATATTCACTATGATACTGATTCCTGACTGGTTACACTCTTTGCTATGTGGGATGGCACTCTTTTCCGCAGCAATTTTAGAGGCAGCAAGGAGATTTCTGCTATGTTTCGTAAATTTAATTACTAGAACGAAATTCATAACACTCTGTGTTCAAGGGACCAATCTTTCTAATGAGCAACTGAGAAAGCAATACGCCAAAAATACAAAATATGAGAGTTTAATATCTCGGAAACAAATATACTGTTGATCATTGATTTCCTGATCAAAATCTGCTCAATTTATTTATGTTTTAATTCTGCCTTCTTTTTGCATTGAGTGTGTTATAATGGACTATAATTGGAATACTAAGCCTTGTAAAGGTCGAAGGACTTTTTTGATCCAATGCCTAAAAGTCGAGTCTTGATAGTGTTTGCCGAAAGACTGTGAAAATTTTCTTAAATATCCGTTAAATAATAATCATGGAGTGGAATGAACAATATGCACAATCGGTGAGTGGTTTGAAAACTGAGAATTTTGATGTGGGGTCGACGGTTAAACAAGAAAAATTCGACATGGTTGCAACCACAGCCCAGAATGAGTTAGTTTATTTTTTTTAAATGCATTTTCCTCAGGGTAATCGTTTCATTAGCAAGTGATGGGAGTGCTACAATAATGTCCCCTGGGGAAATGAGGTAAGTTGTTGTTTGTAGTATCATATGGTAAACGTTAGTCTAGAAGTGTAAAGACTTAGAAACTGTTGGATACCGTAGGATAGGAATAAAATGAGAAAGTAGCTTCTAAAACAGTTAGGTGCCATGCCAGAGATTCGCATACAAGTGTAGTTTACTTGTTTCTAGTTTATTTGATTGTCAGGCAAGCACTCGAATATTGTTCCTGAACTTCATTTTTCTCAATGAAACTATTGGATATGCAGTGTTACATAAGAGTCAGTGTATTCAGTCAGATTCAGATTTTTTGATTGAAGATAGAAGGCTTGGAGCCTATGTTAATCCTCTTCTAGTAAATTTCTGTGCTTGTTCAAACCCTTCTAGAATAAATCAATTGAGGTTGCAGACACCACTTCTTCTGGGAGTTGGTTCTAGGAGTTTGTGACTCGGTTTGAGAACCAGTACTCCATAGCAATATGGTTTCTCCTTGGCTTTTGAACTCTCCTGCTATATCCTCTAAGGTGTTCCGACCACCTAGTTGGAAGGAAAAGAGAGAATAGGTCAGGTCTGTAGTCATTATTTAAAATTTTGAACATTGTAGTTAAATCTCTCTGCCTACAGTATGACAGGGAGAAGGGATTTAAACTGTCTAGTCTTGCCTCGTGTGATAAAATAGTCATACCGAGAATCATACGTGTTGCCTTCCTTTGGACCCTTTCCAAAATATGTGAGTCCCCTTTAAGACAAGGACTGGCTGCCTGGATACAGTTTTCCGGTCTTCACCTCACCAGAGATGCATTTAAGGGGGTGAACATATTTCTGGTGATTCCAGTTAAGTCCGTAGCACTTAGATTATTGATTTTAGTTATCTGTGTTTTATGTGTAAGTCTTATTTCCTCGAAGTATTTCATTACCGGTGCTACTGTCAATAACGTTGGTATGGAGCTATTTGTCTATTTAATGGCTTCCCACTTCAAACTCAACTGTGTATACATTTATAACCACTTCGTGTTTAAGCACAAAAACTTCCGATGTCTTTGGCGGTGTTTAAACTAACTAAAAGCAGCAATTTATCAGGAGGAAGAATGACAGATATTGAGTGTATCGTCATGGCCAATTTTGGCTCCTACTATTATGAATCTTTAATATGCGAACCATATACAACATTTCTAATTTTTTCTCGGGAGTTAGTTTTAATCATAATAAATTTTTAGTTAGTCAAATGAACTGGATGTTCTAACATACCATGGAGAGCAAGATGACATGCGTCATGGACAGACGAAATGACAATAGGTCTGGACTTCGCAGACGAGACTGGTAAGGAGGCCAGGCGAAGAAGAAATGAAAGCTTGTGAGCAATTGTGCAACCGATTGAGAATAATAGAGGACAAAAGTTGACTGAAGATGTGGTGCTGAAGCCCTTCTTCCCATTGGGGACGCAAGAAACGACTAGTAGTAATAAGTACACCTTATTTCTATGGTATTGATTAAAATGTATTGTGCTCCTATCAAAGAAAAGTATTGCGTAAATATTCCATATAGAGCGGTATGATGAAGGAGAAACGCGAAATATGCTGTTAATGATAGCTAAAAATGTTTATAGAAGGATATATACAGAAACATTTTGTCCAGCACTAGCTGGCAAGTAGCAGATATGGATCTAAGACAAACAAATACATGATATCCATTGAATTATGTATTCAAGTTCTATGCTCGAGTCCTATCCTACTTCAGTCTGGGTAACTAATTGCTATCATTAACTCAATAACTATAGGTTTTAAATTGGTACATGAAAATCTGTTCGGGGTAACGGAGTTCTAACTGACTGTAACCAGAAGGTTTTTATTGTACTCTGCTTCTCATAAAAGGAAATCACGGAAAATTCCTAATTTTTTTAACAAAATGTGTCATCAAATAACCTTGTTTTAAGTGAATTCACTTCTTTGCTTATAAATTATGATTATTATTATTGACCTACATTAGAGTTTTTGGTAGTGTGTGAAATTTTATATACTCAGCTAGTTTTAGTCTTTCAATTAATGTTTCGTTTTAGTAATGGGAGCTTGCAGGTTCCGTCAAGTGATGGGCTAACAGGCTCACCATCAGTCAAAGATCTTGAACGGTTTAATTGTCTATCAGAAGAGGAACTGAAAAATAAATCTCTTCCAGATCACTTGAAAGAAGGACTTGATATTGTAATAGTGGGGATCAATCCTAGTTTGGCTTCAGCACACGTGGGACATCATTATGCTGGACCTGGAAACCACTTTTGGACATGTTTATCACAGGCTGGTTTGGTTCCAATGGCTGTTAGTTGCTATGATGATTCAAAAATGCTGGATTATGGTATTGGATTTACAAATGTCTGCACTAGACCGACGAAAGGTGCAGCTGAACTCACACGCAAAGAAATGAAAGCTGGTGCAGCTATAATGCTTGAAAAAATGAGGAAGTATAAACCTAAAATTGCTGTTTTTAACGGCAAAGGTAAGTCTTATTGTTCATTCATTCGATTTATTGTCTAAACACGATCACTGACTCTTATTTTGTAGAGAACATAGCTAAAAAACTTATGTATTATTGTGAGTCGTACACGATGTTTAGTGGAACTAATTGATCTAGGCACTCGCTATCCAACCACAGGGTAATGAGCCGTGTTTCACGCACCGAGGTCTGAGCAACCAGGTAGTGTCATTGGCCCTGACATACGGCCAGCTGCATAGGAATGCACGAGGTTGTTGGGCTGAGTAATTTTTTGGAATGTTTAGTGAAAAATGTTGGTTGGTTTTGATTGAAAGAGCTAATTACTGTCAGATTAGCGAGTGAAGATTGCTTAAATCACTTATGACTACTAACGAACAAATCAAAACACTCACTAAATTTTGGAGGAATTTCAAATAACTGAACATCGTTTTATTTTTTGACCTGAATATATTTGGAAACATTCAGTGGTCACTTAGTGAGATTACTAGTGGAGTTGTTGTATTTCATAAAGAATATTATGATTAAAATTGTAGCGTTCTTAGCATCATATTTGTTTTATTGTTAGCGTGAAGAACGAAAAAGTGCTGTATTGTGATTGAAGTCCCTTTTTCCGACTGTACTCTGTTGAATAAATAAACCCAAAAGTGAAACTATATTTCTCCCAAAAGCAATGAAAGCCAATAATAGTATTGACGCTTGATTCCTGCTCACATGAGTGGAACAGTATAAGGTTTACGTATGTGTAGATGTTAATGGTACAGTTTAGTTGTGACTTTACTTCCATGGGCATACTGTTTGCATCAGGAACCAGAGTATTATAAATGGTAACAAGGAAATGGTCAAACAGTAAGGCTGTCCTTCAAGGCAATACTTCGAAATACTGAGAGTGAACTAAGTAAATTTTCTTTATGAGCCACCAAATTATGAAGACATTTTGATGCAATCAACCGTCCATCATACTTTTGGAAACATTAAAATTTTTGTTTTCTGTCCTTAGAATGCCATCTATATTAAAGTAAATTGATGTAGAAAGGTGAGATGTACAACTTCTAGAACTGGCAGTTAAACAGTATAGAACATGTTTAGTTCATCTTGATGACGTTATCAGTAAGGACACTCGCACAAACACAATTTTAACTTGACCCTTGTGGAATTGATATCATCGGCATACTGTTGAATCTAGAGGGGGATGTTTTATCGGATATAACGAGAAAGCTTATTTATTACATCAGTATACCGAAATAAATACATCTCAACTCCATAGTAACAAATGACAAGTGGGGTGTAACACATCCACTTTAATTGTGTAAAAAAATATTGGGTGTTTTCTTAGTATTTTATTCTTTCATTTGATGTGTTCAGCAATTTTATTTCGTTTAGTTGACTTCCGTCTGTTGTCATTTTTATTTTTAGGCATTTATGAGGCATATGTTGGGCACAAAAATTTCTGTATGGGTAGACAGCCAACAACTTTGGACGGTACAGACACAGTAAGTCGTTACCAATTGTGTTACCGGCAGAAGTTTTGTTAACTTGGTCATGTGTTCTTATTGCAAACTGTATGATTTTAAGTAGTATCGAATAAACGACTAAGGAATTGTTGTTCCTACCTCATGGAATCATAGCTGGATAACTTCAGTTATGTAGATTAACAGTCTATCCGTTTTGAAAAGTTCTCGTAACAACTGTAGTAATCAGATACTAGTTTTTGTTTTTAAAATAATTATAGCGTTTTAGACTTTATTGGTCTTTGCATTATCTCCAAGTAATTTTTTATAAAACAGTGAAAATTATTGTTCCGTATTGTGCACAGTATTACTATCTCTCCTTGGAAAAGCCTAGCGGATAAATTCCTTCAATGTCTCCTCGTTTGAATTGGCAAAATAAACAGCTACCTGTCGGGAAGCAACTGTATTGCACAGAAGTCTGCTGTGTTACTGTATGCTACCCAACGGCTATTTATCATAACTACTATAGGTGGAAAACAATAATAAGGTCCCGGGTTTGAATCATAAATGGGTTTGTAACATTGTTTTTATGTTATAAAATCATAAAGATTAGGCGTAGAATGATAAATCATAAGCGTAAATCGGTCGATAAGGTTGTACATCTTCGTTGAATGAGTTAACCGGGATTTTCATCACCTCTCAGTTGCCTACTATGAATAAGGTATACTGAATTCCACTTTGGCTCTAAAGAAAAAGTAGTCTCACGATCATACAGCTCACTGACTTTAGAACCGGACCTTCAGCTAATGGATGTAGAGTTCAGCTCTCTCTCACTCTCCACCTTCCCCAGTATGGTCTGCCTTCACATAATAACTTTAGCCCGGCCTGATACATGAAAAGTTCTAACTAATAGACAGTTTCGCGCATCAATATATTGTGGATGTGAAGTTACCTTTTCCGTGAATGTTATTATATGAATATATGTATATATAGTCTTTCAGACATTTACTGTCCATCTGAGAAAGTTTATGTCCAATACTCCTGTCTGTTTTCTTTTCTTTACAGATAATTTTTGTTATGCCTTCTTCTAGTGCACGTTGTGCGCAACTCCCACGTGCTGAAGATAAACTTCCTTTCTTTTTGGCGCTAAGAAAACTACGTGATTATGTACGTGGTGATTTAGCAGAACTGCCAGATTCTGAGGTTGTATTCGCCGACTATACAGAATTTCGTGTTACTCAACCGGATCCCAAGAGTTTGCGTAAAGCAGAAAGACGTCGGAAACGAAAGGCAGAGGCGGCAGCAGCCGCGGCCGCCGCCGCAGCGCTCGCCGCCAACTCCGGTGATGGCACTCTAATGAATGGGATTGTTTCAAGTCAAGTTATATCTAGTGATGGTGTTACTGTCACTACTGTCACCCAAGCTGCTAATGGTATTTCAATCGACGCCAAAGGGAAACCAAAATTAAAACGTTAGTTACTTAGAGTGTGGTACTATATATAATGAAATTTTCTCTGTTTCTAGCCCTTTGTATGTGTTGGCAGTATATATTAATGTCTTCAATTTTCTGTTAGTTAGGTATTCGGTTTTATTAACTTTCTGAATATTTAATCATTTTAACCTCTTAATTTCACCCCACCATACCTAGAACTGATCAGCTAAAATAACCACTGGATCGGTAAAATTTTGATGTAAAAAACTGCATATTAGTGTAGAGTCGATGATGAGAAAAGAATGCATTTCTTTTCTCAGTCTGTTTTATCATTTTGTTTATTGTTTGCGTGTGCGTGAATTGATCGCGCAATGGTAACCAACTGATATCCTTTACGCCTAGATGTTGATCAAGTGGAGCTGTGGCTCCTTGGTTTATGCTCTTGACTTCCAACCAATGACTCCCGGGTTCAATCCCCGTTCAACGCACCGAGGTTTGGATAGCCAGGTAGTAGTATCATTAGCCCTCACACAAAAGATGTGGTTCACTGCCGCTTGCATGGAGTCGCAAGTGGTTGTTGATTAGCACATACAAATGTTGACCAGATGCTGTCGACCAAGGATCAGGTTGGAAAAGAGCTAGGGGTATCAGCCAGTTAACTCCGAATGCACAGGAATGGGGAAAATGTAGCCTCTTACATCTGTTAAACACTATTCCAAATAATTTTCCTATCTCAGCAATAAATTACTGTGTAGAATATTACGTAGGTCCTCCTTCATGTAAGTATAGACGTTCTACTGTTTCTCCTTAAACTTAAATACAGTCTACTCCAAATACTAATCAACTTCATGAATTGACCTCTTAGTTGTCGGTATGTGACTGACTCGCAGGAGAATCTTTAATTTCATCATTTGGAAGCTAGCATTATAAAATGTAAGGGAGGAATATTGGTAGAACAATTTATGCTAGCAATGATTTTAAGTCACTACGATTGTAGTTCATTTGTCTGATCACTAGATCTTCAATGTTTCACATTCAAATTTATCATCCTTATCTTGATCTGAAAGATTGAAGAGAAAGATTTTTTATTCCATGGTTAGGTACTATTTCACGTCTTAGTTATAACTTACTGTATATATTAAAATTGTCTGTAGTAGAATTAGATTAACAAAAAGTGTAAATGCAAGTGTGTGTTCACAACTCGCGCTATGTCGTGAATTGGCAGAAGTTGGAATTCATGGACTGGCCATTAGATCGGGTCCCACTGGCTTAATGGTCTACGAGCTCGCCTTTGTAACCAGAAGGTCCTGGGTTCGACCCCCGGTGGCGGGTGCGTACTGATGAAGAGTCCCAAATTAAGGCGAAACAGCTGCCCAGTACTCCTTGCAGGTTTTCCAATGGTTCTCTAACCGATGTCAGCTCATGATGCAGTCCTGTAACCAAAAAGTGTGTAATAGTGTTCAAAACATCATACAGTAATTAGTACTATTTGATTGTGTGGTAAATCTATAAAGACTGCAATATGGAATCATTGCTTATACCTCTCTTCTTTTTATTCTATCTGAAGAAATCCTGTTAGTTTTTGACACTTGAATTTGAGATGTGGCGGCAACACTACTCAACAACCACTTGAAATCAGCCACACTTATTGTGGTAGGGCTGGTTGTACTGTCTGCAGCTGACCAAACCTCGGTGCGTAGAGCTGGATTCGAACCCGCGACCCCCTTGTGGAAAGTACAGTTTTGTGTAATTTGTAACCATCAGGTTGTAGTGTAGTTATAGTCCGTTTGAAGTTTGCCCGTAGATCTATTGTTAGTCCTCCCTTACCAAGTAGGAAACTGAAAGTAGTAGTACTTCACTGCAAGGAATTAACTATCAGCTACGCTTTACTAAACCATAGTCATTTTATTTCAGAATACATATTATTACTGAGGGAGGTATAACTACTTCACTGTGTGATTTATAATTTATTTTTTTTGCTAAAAAACAACTCAACAACTAGGAGTTTTATGTTTTATTGAACTCTGATCAAGCTTTGATTAATTGGTTTACTTTTAATCGTAATGATTATCTGAGATTATATTATTTATTGTGAGTTTTTGCCTGTAATAACTCATAGAATTAAGTGTAAAATTAGAACTTTCGAAAAACTGATTACTGAACAGAGAATATGCTTTTCGATAACTTCTTCATTAAGCTGTACAGTTATATTGTAACAGCAGAAGGCAAGACACGGAAGTAAACGTGTATATCGTATTCTGTTGTTAATGCAATGTTGAACTGTGGGAATATATGAGAATAATATTCCGTTGGAACATATTGTCTGTATGTACACCACCACAATACTATGTATCCATAATAATTAAACAACCATTTTTATTGATTACATTAATGTTTTAAGAGAAAAAATAACATCAAATCACTGACATCAAAATTCTAAGAATTACATGCGAAAGATGAAGTAACCTAGGCTAGATACCTATTCTTGTATGTATCGATTCGAATGCTCCTGTGGAGCCAGTTATACTGGTCGTTGCTCTAGGGATTTAGTTTTTCGTCCCCAACAGCACCTACTTCTGTAAGCTAATTGATGGTGTAGGGAAAACCATCAACAGTTCGATGTTATGCCACCTAGTTCAAATATACCTAGTATGGAAGAGTCTTTTCCCGAGAAAACCAATTGTCAAAAGCCTCCAGGTACCGAATACTCCAAAACAGTTGAGGTTACTGTCATTAGCTTAAAACAACTGGAGATATGTGTGTCCAAACGGTGAAGTCCTGTTTGTCCCCCTGTGTTTTTAAAAGTTCCTAGTCGTCTTTTTTGTTTAGTGCATATAAGCAGCAGTACTGAAGGGTTAACCACTGTCAGTGAAATTACTCAATGGCGTACAAGAATTCGCCGAAATATAATATAGGTGTTGAATGTACCGCGTCCATGATTCATTGGTAGAATATTTGCCAACTAACCTTGTGGTCTGGGTTTCGATCCCTGTTGACCGCATTCCTTAACTTCGTTTAGCCGGTATAGTAAGTCAGGTAGAGAAGGAAGGTTGGATGTGAGGTTAGCAACCCCACCCCGTAAAAAAACATCACTGCTACTGAAACTTCAGAGTTCAAGTTTCATATTCCATCCGGAAAGCAAAAGATTAAAACAATAATAAAATGTATTGCGCGGGTATTTCAAATTATGTGTTAAAAGTATTCTCTCCCCAATGAGTTTCCTGTCACAACATCCTACATCTAACTTGTTTGTATATAATACAACTATGTTACCAGCTTCAGTTAATTTTTTTGTGCAACAATCTATGTATATTTATTATAAGCGCGTTTTCTTTTCTGCGAATATATATATCTTTGTATGTAGTACCCGTTTTTGCTCACTATGTTCCCTAATTTTAGAAATACAGTATACACTGTCTCACCCTTGAATTTATTTTCTACCTTCTCATTCTCTGTGAACCTTGGAGTTTTTGCGTGTTCCTCTTCTTCTTCTTCTTTTCTCGTTTCAACAAAAGGTGGTACACTTTGTATACTTATTATGCAATCGGATCTAATACACACAAGAGGAAGAGGTCAGTAAGTACACTACTGTGTCGTCCTTTTCCTAGACAAAATCTCTTTCATCAAGAACACGGAGTTGATATTCTTAGCCATTTCTGTTTCTTTCTCTCACTCTCTTAGAGTGTAAAACCCTTGCCTTGATCTCTTATCACATACACACTGGTGGTGTACGGTTTTATAACCATGTCCACCAGACCTGAACAACAATAAATTTCTGCAAATATATATATATATATTCTATGTCATCCCTGCAAAATACTTTATACTATGTTACCATTTCAGTCATTTTTATTTCTACAAGGTAGTATTGGTGTGTGTTTGGTGAATTCTATTTCTTTTCTCTTCTCGTGTATACATTGTTATTGTTGTTTTTTCATTATATTGTGTGAACACAAGTCAGTGTGTATGAGCTTTGTTGTGAACTTCGGGCTTGCTACACTCTGTAGATAGATATAGGTCAAAACTTTTCACTAAACCGGTTAGATAGAATAAGTTAAACAAAGTTAGTCTAAAATTGTCTACTCTGGGCTAGCAAATTTTGTTGAATTAGTCAAAATTGGTCAATTTTACTATGTTCACCGAGGACACATAACTGGCTTTATTCTCTGTCCATTGTATGTGTTCTAGACCTATATTATTTTTCTCTCTCTCTCTCTCTCTTTCACCTTGTAGAATGAATGAATGAATGAATTTTTACAGTCCATTTTTGTATCTGCCCTGTTTTGCATTAATTAGACAAACACATATTTGTACAGAATAAGAACAAACACTTTGTTTGTGTGTTGGCTTGATTTTCATTCGTCTGCCTTCTTTGTACGTGTAGGAAGGTTACGTTATTTTATAAATATATGTGTGTTTGGCCAATTTTATGTGGGTGAGTGATACATACATACATACATGCACTTAGTCTCGCTATACTTATCGATCCATTTTGGCCTACCATCTGGTCTACCTCCTGCCTTTCCCCTCAAGTCTCTTATCTGCCTACCCACTGTATGTATAATTGATAAAAAAATATATTTTTTCTAACTTAGTTTAGTTGTCCAATTTTCAATATATAAGTAAACAGAGACAATGCAGCAGTTAGTTAAAGCTTATTTCTTATTGCAAATAAAGACTGTCTGGGTTTTTTTCCTGACATTCCCCCTAAATAAAATCATACTGTGTAGCTACATTTATTTATCTGTGCAAACAGCATACATATTCATACTACTACCTTTTTTGTAAACTTGCCAACAATGATCTGTGTTTGGAGTGAAGGAAATATTCTGAGAAAGCTGTCTTTGATGTTTTGTTGTGAATACCAATTAACGTTGTGTTCTCACGTGCTACAAATAAAAAAATAACGTTTAAATAGTGTATGAATAGTATAAATAGTGTGTATATATGTATGTAAAATATATAACCTGTCTTTTATTTTGCATGTATTTCCCTTAGTAGAGACTGTTTATGTATGTTTGATTGTCCCTGTATTCACTCAAACTTTTGGTTCCGTAACAAAATGTTTGATCACGAATCGATATTGGTTAGGGAACCATCGTAAAGCAGGGAGCGCTAGTAAGCTCTCTCGTCCTAGTTCGGGCCTCTTCATCAGTATGCATCGGTAACCCCGCCGGTAGGGATCGAGCTCAGTACCTTCAGATCCCGTTGGACATCCAGCCAGGAGGGTGGTGGTGTCTAATGGCCGACCCATAAATTCTAACTTCCTGATATATAATGCGACCGCCAGCCAATATCATCGGCTAGCTAACATCTAACCTGATGAACCTTGCTGACCACAACTTCGCACCAGAACTCCAAATAACCTTATCCTGTAGGCAGTCACGAGTGATAGGAGTTAAAATTTATGGGCTACTAGATTCTATCCCAACTATCTGAATGGCCAACGAGTCTGTCTCGAAACCTGAGGGTCCTGGGTTCGATCCCTGGAGGTAGGGTCATGGCTACGTATCTCTGAAAGGTCTGTCCTGGACTCCCTGGTTTTCAATGGTTCTCTAACTTCAAACCAATCAAATCTCTACAATGTAACACTTCAAAATGTTTTGTTGCACACCGTTTCTATTAAACTTAATAATATCCTATCTCTGTCCTAGACTGTATTTGTGTGGCGGGAATCAAACGCATGATTATGTCGTTGAAGGTTCAGCACCTAGATCAGTGGTGTACCTATCTATTTGTAGTAGTTACAACTCAGTTATCTAGAATGCATTTCTCATGTACATATGGCTATGGGCCACACTTATTGTTGTTTAGACTGATATCATTTCTCAGTTGCCCAGCCTGAATTAGGTGGAGTGGGACTCGGACCTTGTACTTCTTGGTTGAAAGTCGGGTGCCTAAGCCAATTAACCACATTTCACTCTTAAAGTTATGTGAGTATTATTTAAGTTGCCAAGACTATTTTGACCTTTGAGTGAAGCGAGTTGTATTTTGGATATAATTATTGTAATCTCATATTGCCGATTCCAATGTTCACTGGATTACAAATCTTTCTATTATAACAATGTAAGCGGTGCTCAAATTATTTTTGAATGTGTATACCTTCATTAGAGTTTAACTAGATACTGGAATGGTGAATCTGTTTTGTGCGAAGCACTGGGAACAAAGCCTTCATTATTATTAATGTGTCTACATTAGAATTTGTTGTAATAGTAGAATTTCTGACTGCATTAATTACACAGTGTTTGCTGTGATTAGTGATATAAACTTTTTAATTTACAAACCGCAATATAGTTTGAAAAACGAGGTAACCTGGTTATATAGTAATCCTTATTATCACGTCTGTGATCTTCGGTTAACGGACCTACATATATGGTTACTTAAAGATTTCTGAATTGCCGTTTAGTGTGCATTTTTTTTATCCTTCACGTTCCCCAGTGGAACATAGGGATTCAAGCTAGCGGCTTGAAGTTTCTGTAGCAGTGTTTATTTTACAGGATGGAGTTGCTAGCCTCATACCCAACCTTTCCTCTTCACCATTTTTTTAGTTCTGGCTTAGCGAGGTAAAGGAGTGCGTCGGTCGGGATCGAACCCTGGACCATGTGCATGGTCGGTGAGTGTCTACACTAAGCCTATTTAATTCTCCTACCATTCGGAACTTCAGTGTTTATCATAATTATCACTAACAGTTAACATTCTGAAGTTTACACTTATGAATACCTGGATGAGTGTCAGAAAACTTGTATTCGTTACTATTGGACACTCAATAATACACCTCAGTAATATATCATTGGCCAATGGCTATATTCCACATGATTGTCGGTAAGATAAGGTCAACACTGGAGATTATTTCATTAATTAAGTATTAGGGTAGCAGAAAAACTCACGGATCACTGAATTCCCACCCAAGCGGCTGTGTATAGTCAGTGAGTTTGATCTCGTAACTAGAAGGCCCTAGGTTCGACTCTTGAAGAGTCCTGAACTAGGACGAAATAGCTGTCCAGTGCTTCCTAGTTTTCAACCATCTCCAACCAATGTTGATTCGTGACGAAATCTATGAGGAAAAACTTATAATGTAAGGAAGACTCATTGCTATCTAACTCACAAGTTGAAGTAATCGTTTATACGTATTGGATTTTTCAATTGGATTTATGTGTTATCGGTTTCATGCATGCCTAGCCATCTATCGCCTTCCTCGATGGACAATGTTAGATGACATAGGATCATCAGGTTAGAAAAGACCTAGTGGTGGTCAAATGAAAACACGGCATCAATCAATGAAATCCACAACAGTTAGTTTAAGCCAGACACACTGGGAGGTGTAGACTTCCTGATTGGGGTGTCCTCGGGATGGTGAAAACCAATGGCTGAAGAAGACAATTGATGATGTGGCTCAAAATCTTTCTCATTGGCGCAGATGTATTCATCACTCTTTATGATTGATAATACCCAATAAAATTATATTGTTCTTCCATATCACTATTCTTTTTTCTTCATATCGCTATTTTGAATCTCTATTTACTCTCTTCGCTTGCTTTGTGTGCTGCATTGGGGTGTGGCAACTTGAACTGGTGCAATTCTCTTCAAAGTTCTGTGTTGAAACTCAGTCAGTCACTCGGTAGCTAGACACTCTTCTCCTGCAGTGTCTACTTGTTTCGGTGAAGAATAAGCCTGTAGTAGGCTTCTTATCAGGTATGGTGTGGATCGAAAGGTACTATGGCAATGTTTGACTATGAAGGGAGTGCCAAGAAAGTACATTGCACTAATCAAGGCACTCTACTCAAACTCACACGTGTAAGGGCTTATGGGGGAATTGTCATCTGAATTGATAACAACCAGTGGTGTCCGTCAAGGATGTCCACTTTCCCCATTTCTGTTTAACTTCATCATAGATATGCTAATGGAAGTATCCTTAACTGAACTTAATGACTTAGGAATCGACTTGTTACCGGGGAATAGTCTTATGGACTTAGAATATGCAGATCGCATTGTCCTGTTAGGGGAGGATGCTGACAAAATGCAGAGACTTCTGAACACCTTGAGCAGCAATCTTCGTATGTCTGGCATGCGATTCGACCCTGTAAAATGTAAGATGCTGCCACAGGACTAGACTACGTCTACCCCTAGCTTAGTGATAGGGAGTGAAGTGATAGAACATGTTGACCACTTCACCTATTTGGGAAGTTGTATCAGCACCAACGGATTGATTGGTGACGAAATCTCAGCACGGATCCAAAAAGCTCGGGCTGCTTTCACTAACTTACACCGTCTCTGGCGTAGGCGTGACATCCGGCTATCAACCAAGGGACGTGTGTACTGCTCAGCAGTTCGCTCCGTCCTTCTCTATGGCTCTGAAACATGGCCAATACGAGTTGAAGACATGAAAAGGTTGACTGTTTTTGATCATAGATGTCTACGATCTCTTTCTCATGTTAGGTGGTATAATAAGGTAAGTAATGTTGACGTCAGGCGTAGAGTGTTGGGCAAAGAGGGAAAATCAATTGAAGAGGCTGTAAAGTCACATAGATTGAGATGGCTAGGTCAGGTGCTGCGCATGCCTAACCATCGCCTCCCCCGACGGACGGGCATTACTAGCTGATATAGGTGCAGGTTGGAAAAGAGTAAGTGGTGGCCAAACAAAAACATGGCATCAATCCATGAAATCCTTGACAGTTAAACTGAGTTAGGTAGGGAGATGCAGACTTCCGGGTTGGGGCCCGCCCTCGGGACTCTAAGAATCAATGGCTGGAGACAATAGGTGACATGGCTCAAAATCGTTGTCAATGGCTTACGCAGATGTATTCAGTCTCTGTAATCTTTCATATTCCTTTCTACCATTACTCATTCTGTTTCACTCTTATACTTGTCAAAACTCTATTGATTCTCTTCACTCATCTTCTTGTCTACGTATGTGTGCTATTTGGAACGTGTCAACTCGAACTGCTGCACTTCGGTGCCAAGTTCTATGTTGAATCCAGACAGACAGAGACATGGTGTGCATATTTCTAGGTTAAATACGTTAGACGGTGAGGTTATACAGTAATTATCTATTGTGTATGCTATTTATGACAAAGTTATTATTATTTATTGTCATTATTATTCTTACTTATCTGTTAATTATAGCTGCTAAACGTAAAAAGCCATCAGACAATCTTGTCACAATAGCACAATCACAAGCTATGCCAGTACAACAACTCAGTGCTGGTGCTACTGCTACTACTACTGCTAATGTAGTATTTACAAATTGTACAACAGATCTACAACTCCAACAGCAACAACAACAACAAGTCCTACAACAACAAGTTTTCCAACAACAACAACAGCAGCAACAACAACAAGCCTTTCTTATACAACAACACCATCAGCAACAACAATTACAACAACAGTTTACCCAGTCAGCTCAACAACAACAGCAGCAACAAGCTCTACAACAACAACAGCAACAACCACAGCATCAAATGCTAGTTAGTGGAGGTCATTTTATGTCAGCTGCACCAATGGTCACCTTGTCGACAATGGCTGCAGGACCTGGTGGCACAGCGACTGCTATTCCTGTTCACCCTGGTATGAATAATCAAAATGGGTGGATATCCTGTTTGTTGTTGTTTTTTTGTTTTGTTTTGTTTTCATTGAAAAGATTTATTATATCAGAATGTTTTTGTAGGAATTCGGATTAATTTCAATGTAGACTTCGTCACGAACCGAAATAAGTAGAGTATTGAGCCATGTAGTAGTACTGGGCAGCTGTTTGGTCCTAGTTCGGGATTCTTCAGTGCACAAACATGACGCCAGCGTCAGGGATCGAACCCCGGGAGCTTTAGGTTAGGAGACGAAACTCGTTGACCATGCAGCCACTTGTACCGGAATTTAATGACATATGAATTCTAACTCTGTTAGTTCGTGATATAGTGCCGCCATCACCGACTAGTGCCTCCGATGAGCGTCTACTTCACCTTGACAATGGTGGATCCAACTAGTCACGACTTGCTTTTTGATGTTTGCTACATGAATGGGCGGTTGAGTTGATAGAACTCATTTCAGATGTTGTGATTTGCCTGTGATCAATGATGGATGGCACCAGTATTATTTTTTATTGTCTTTGAAGTGGCAAGTTGCGGAAATCTCAAGGTGCTTGAATGCCACTGCCTTCGTAACACTCCTAATGTGTAATAAGCAGTGTGTAGTGTGAATGTTGTCTGTAGGAATAAGAAATAGAGTCTAGGATGACACAGGTTGGTTATTTAAAGAGTTTTGAAACCTTCATATGAACTTTTAATTGATCTAACGTTAAAAAATTCATGTCTGCACAGACTTTAGTACACACGATAACAATTAACTTGCTGAATAGAGCAAGTTACTTCCTCAGAGTACTGTTAATACATATTTATATTACCAAGTTTAGACTATTACTAGCCCATAGCCATCAGTCAAAAGATAGCGACCATCATAAAAAGTTAGCTTATAAGTGATTTTATTGGGATAAAGCGAAGACTGTGGGGCAAGTTATGAGGTGACTGGCTAGCAGACTATATAATTCTTTAGAGTTGTTAATACTGTGTCTATAGACGATTTAAAAGTATACAGCTTTATAGATACATTATTACAATTATATGAATGTCAGTTTACCGCCATCGGAAATTCACCTACCTGTATTCTTTTTGCATTCCCAGATTGGAAATTACAATTAAAGTGAGAGTAAACTAGAAAAGATTAAGGGCACTTTCACCAAAGTATTAACATTATCAGTGGAAACCTAAAAGGATCCACTCTCCCTAATATCCGTCACACTAACTTTTGCTTCTTGCGCTTTAGGAACACAATGGAACCTTTACATTTAAATTGATTGTCGTTCAAGTTTAAACATGAAATATGAATTGAATTTGTCTGTTAGTTCCTTTGTTTAAATGAAGTGATATGCCCCATTCATGTTGCTTATCTTATTAGCTGTTTTATTTGCGAGTGATACTTATTGTCCGTTTCTTATTTGTATCATTGGACTGAAATTAAAATGAGTTTTATTGTTGACACAGGTACTCAAGCAGCTGTAGCAGCTGGTTGTTACGCAACACCTCAATTCCAGTTCACTGGTAATCCAGCAGGCACAACTCAACAGTTCTTCATTAGTCCTCAAGCTTCAGCATTGTCTACAGGTGGTCAAACACTCTTACAATGGTCTGCAACTCCATGTACTCAAGCCGGTCCTACAGCTGTTCAATTTCAACAGCCTAACCAACAGCAACAACAACAGCAGCAAGCAGTTGCTGCAACATGGCAAAATGTTGGTGCAACAATCTATCAACATCAACAACAACAAAATCAACAAGTTGGTACAGCTATTCAATCGGCTCCTGGAGGTGTTGCTACTTCAGGTGCCAATGCAACAGCCAATGCACAACAACAACAACAGCAGCAACAGCAAATGTTTGCTCAACAGCAACAACAAGGAGCTATGCAACAAGCTCAAGTTCAAATGGCTCAGCAAGCCCAACAACAATTACTTTTTGCACCTCAACATCCAGTTGGGATACAAGCTGCTGGGGCTCCACAGGCGGCCTATCCACAACAGGTGTATTTAGCTCAGGCTCCGGCGGGTAAGTTAACTTTGATAATAGATTCGATTTGTTACTGTTTAAAATTTACATATTTGAACTTGGTTGTTGATAAAGAATGGTGGACCTATCTTAGGTTGTTCTTGTGGAAAAGTTATTTCTGGTTAAGTTGTCTTCATGGGGATTGTAACATTAGAAGTGGAATTTAGGCGAATCACGTAAAGCGTATCCGCTATATGTTCAAATTTAATAAAAACAAGCTGTTTACATATCATCTTCCTACCTATCTGACACCCTAGCCCATGTAGTGTAGAATCACAGCCGGTTTAGTAAATATACTCGGAAATATTTGAACGAAGTTTTTTGATTGAACAATTAATTCCTAACTAGCCCATTATTGTTTTACCTCGGCTTTATATATGAGGATTATAAGGCTATCACGAGGAAGTATCATACTTTTTGAGAAGATAGACGCGCACACGCGTTTGTACATCGTTCCATTCCTTTGTGTTCGGAGCCGGAACATTAGGCTTCAAGCTGTGAAGTTTCAGTAGTGGTGGGCTTTAATGTGGCAGAGTTGGTAGCCTCACACTTAAAATTCCCTCCTTACCGGAGTCACTACCATGTAATCGTCGGCTGGGAATCGAACCTGAACGATGCGCGTGGCTGGCGAAGCATTCTACCCCTGAATCACCGATGCACATCGTCGGGATACAATTTTTTTTAAATCGTTTGTTAAATATTGTTTTATTTATCGCTTTAAATAGGTGCTAATCCTGGTGGGACTTCTTACCACCTTCTTCCTGTTGGTTGTCCTGCTCCAAATTTCACAAGTTTATTACTTTCTGAGCAACAGCAACAACAACACCAGCAAGCATTAGCACAATGCTCTTCAGCGAATGCTGCAGTACAACTGCAACGAACTCAGCAAAGTCTTCAAGTTCAACAGCAACAGCAGCAGCAACAACAACAACAGCAAGCACAACAATTCCAACAACAACAACAACAGATTCAAGCACAAGCTCATCAGTTACAACCAGCTCAACAGCAAGCTTACATCCAACAACATCAGCAACAAGCCACAATGATGGCAACTGATGTCTCTGTCAGTGGTCAACCTGGTGCTACTCCCCAGTTTATCACTCTGGCACCAGGAGCTCCATTAAAAGTCATGGCTGTTGGTCCTAACGGTCAGTTGATTCAAACCACAGGACTACCACAGTTTATGCCAACTGCTCCTGTTGGAATGACTATCAATCAACCAACTGCTACTCTCCAACCTCAGCAAACAGCAATTCAAGTTACTCCTCAACGTCGAGTAACAACACCCCAACAACAACAACAACAACAACAGCAACAACAACAACAACAGACTAATGGACGTTCACTTCCAACCGTTTCAGCAGCAGCAGCTACTGCTGCATTCTTCTCTGGGACAGCTATCTCTTCCGGTACAATTCCACTTGTACAACCAGCAGCTGGTATAGAAGATCTAGTACAGTCTACAAATAACAATTGTTTGAATGCATTAGGTAGTGGAGATGAAAAGTTGGTATACACAGCCCTATAGAAGAAAAAAATTAAATTATTTATTTATTTATTTCTATATCAAATGCATTTTCAATTTTTTTTAAAACTTTTTAACTGTTTTACACACAAACACACACAGATCCCCCCGCACTAATTACAGTGTATGTATGTACTACACTTATTCTTCACAGATATTTTTTTCGTTTGTTGTTTTCTTTTTGTATCTTTAAGCTTATATTATTATTAATACTATTACCCTAACGACAATGTGTAATAATAATAATAATACAAGCTTATTTTATCCTCTTTTTTCAAAAATTGTATTTTGGCGCTTACGGAAGACAATCGTTTTTATTTGATTTCTTTATCAGAAAACTATACTGTGCATTATATATCATATACACACACACTCAAATGTGTTCAGTCCCGTATTTTCCCCTTCCATTCTTTTTGTTTTATAAAAACCATCCTTCGTTTTTGTATTTTTTAGAAAAATGTAATTTAATGATGATGATTATGACTATCATGATTACGTAATCTTTTTGCAATTGACTAACAGATTGTGTTTGTGTAATCAAAACCGACGACGACGACGACGACAATGTATATCTCCTCTAGTCATCGATTACTATACTACCTCGTTTTCATTTGATTTTATATCTTTAATGTGTTTTGTTTGTTGATATTAGTGATTGTGTGATCTAATGAACACGAATATATATATATATATATATATATGGCTGATGAATCCTCTTTTTATCCTTCTTCTTTCATTCACTTACGCATATGCATATATATTTTTCGTCTTTATGTATTACTGTCGATTGAAGACTGATTCATTCATTCATGAGTAATGATGAAGACGATGACAAATCCAAGAACTGTTGCATTTTTTCCTGAGTTTACATGTGTGTGTGTGCAACAGTGTGTTGACGAATACATCTTAGACTGCATGCATTTCTGATCCATCTATCTATCTATCTACTCAAACAGGCAACAGGTGCAATTTATAGTGTTTACCACAGCATTACAAATATGTGGATGGGTGGGTGGGTATTTGAGTGAGTGAGTGGGCGTTTGTGTATGATATATAATTATGCATACATCCTTATTGCGGTTTTTAATATCCTTCAATTACATACGTCGACTTTTATTATTTTTTGTTTTCTCTGTATTGTATGTATGTATTGTATATTTTATTTCCTATCTCTATATGAATGTCTTTTATTATTTCATTTTACATGTGTATATTATTTATGTCTTCTTTTATATGTATGTGTGTATGTATGTATGCATGTGCGTGCGTGCGTGTCTTTCTTCTACACTTGGCTTTTCACTTTCTTTTTGTACAATTGTCACTTCTATTTATAATAATTTGTTTCTTCTTCTTCTAAACTTCTTCTGCCTGCTTTATGTGTTCTGCATAGATGTATAAATAACTATGAGAATACAACAAGAGTATTATGTAAATATATACCCGCCTATCTGTCCATTTCTCTTTGTAATTATTGACGAAAATCCGAATAATAATAATGTAATTTTTAATACTTATAAAAGTATTGTTATTATTTGTTATTCCTTTGGGCTCCGAGTGTAATCTAGGCGGAGGGATTCAATTCAATAGCGCATCGCGCTATTTCATCACTCCGTTCTCTCTGAAGTTGTCGTTGTTGTTTTTTAAAGCTGGCTCCATTATTTTACCATAAGCGGTTTCATTTCATTTTTGACAAGATCTCCTCTCCATATCATCCGTGGACTCCAAACTCATCTTTCCCCACTTTGGTTGCACTTGAGGGAATGGCATGTGATGCCGCTTCGGTCGGTCAGTCGGTTTTCGACATAGAACTTTGCACAAATGTGCGGCAGTTCAAGTCGCCACACTCCCTCCTTGTAGCACACAAAGAAAGAGAAGAAAGTAGGAGAAATGCATATTAGAGACAGTAAACAGAGGTGTGAGACAAAGGAATAGTAATAACGAAGAACAAAACAGTTTCATTAGAAATCATAAGTCACACGCAGTGGATGCATCTGCGCCAGTCATTGAGAACGATTTTGAGCCATGTCACCAATTGTTTCCAACCATTGGTTTTTACCGTCCCGACGACCCCAACCAGTCAGGAAGTCTACATCTTCCCACGTGGCTTAGACTAACTGTTGTGGATTTCATTGACTGGTGGCATGTTTTGGTTTGACCGCCGCTAGCTCTTTTCCAGCCTGACCCAATGTGAGCTAACATTGCCCATTGTCGAGGAAGGCGATGACTAGGCACACGTAGCACATGTCCTAACCATCTCAGTCGATGTAATTTCACAGTCTCGTCTATTGATTTCCCCACCTTACCTAGCACTCGATGCCTCTTCAACAGTCCATCTTCACTTTATTTGGAATGCTTCTTGGGCAATAGTTTCTTCGTTGATCTGTTGCCTGTGAGAGTTTTCTTGTCACTTAGCCTTTCCAGTAGGTCATCTGATCTTCAGTATGAAGCGAAGGCAACTGTTGACGAAAGTCTGCACTATATATATGTCCAAAGCAAGTTCACTTTTAACAGTTTGAAAAAATTTGGGCATTGGGTGTATGATATTCATTATAATAATAAAGGTTTTCTTGTATTTCCTAATGAATGAAAAACAAAACGACGATATTGTTTTTACTGACGTTTCGCTATTTAATGCTGCTAATAGCTTTATCAAAGTATTATTAAACCGGAATTTACAAAATCTCAGCATATATATAACAAAGAGTTAAGGGATGAGAAAATAGACTTAGGTCAAGTTAAAGGGACACATTGATAGTCAAAATAACAATGAAGATCACTAAACCAAATAACAAAGGTAATAGTACGTCTGTTATGATATCAAAATAAAGTTTACTAACTTGATCATCGTTCGTCAGTCTGGGGTCATTTTTTGTTGTCAAGTTGGTCAGTTGGTAAAGATAACAAAACCAAGTGTAGATTGTTGAATTTGATCAGTGTGTAAAATTATAAAACCAGTGTGTGTTTACATAGTGAACTTGCATATCACATTCGTGTTGGTTTTGTCACTTGATGGGGGAGGGGGGTGTTGTAACCAGGTAAGATTCTGTTTTAGTCCATTATATCTATTCAGGCAATTTGGATTCCACTTGATATGAAGTACTTCTGATATTAGACGTTCTTTGTGATTCCTGAAGTTTTTCTGGATTATTTCAATATTGTCAAAATCAATTTTGTTATAAAGTCTGCACTAGTCTATTGGAAAAGTTTTCCATGACGTTAACGTCAAAAGTCTCTGAACCAATATAGAAGCACTAACTGACTTGACATTAGTGTATAGGATCCGAATCTTGTTCTTTATACTGAGTGCAGCAGATTTCCACATTGATTTCAGACTGGTGAAGGTCTGTCTTGCTTTCCCCATCTTGGCCGGCTTTATCATTCTTTTCTGTACAGACTGTAGTTGAGTTAAGGCGGCGACTTCCTTTAAATTTCTCCCGCTGACGGTGATTGATGCTTTTTTTGTTGTTGGTTGAATATCTTCGTCATCTCTGTTTTCTACATGTTCACATTGTGTCCTGTCTTCACTGTCTCTTCTGTCAAATTATTGGTTTTCGCCTGTAGATCTTCAAGTTTGTGTTGCACTAAATATAGTTTATCCACGAAGTACGGATCCTCAGGTGTCTTCTTAGTGGTTCAGTATATGCCTGTCTTCTCGATCCCCACGCTCTGTTACACAATTCAATTCACCACAGTTAAGAATGTCATCGGTAATAGTAGTAGTATTAACGACAGAAGACAAAGGCTAGGCAACAAATTGTTAACTGAGAAAATCAACAGATATTTATAGATTTTTATGTACATTATTATTAGCGTTATTGTTATCAGTGAAGAAACGTTTTCTGATTGGCTGTTTTCTCGCTGAAGGTCATTCTGTATTGCCTGTGACCATAAATCTGCGAATCCTATTTGCACACGTTAAGTCTGCTGTGATTGGTTGGTGATTTCCTCAAGGTTAAGCTTCGTTATTGTTTTTCTCATGACCCTGATTCGAGACGCAAACATTGACGTAAATTGTTGTCTACAATTTTGGCTTGTTCGTAGCCAGTTCTCACCACAGTAGACAGCCTTTTCTTACTCCTATCTTCACTTCAAAGGCTTCGTTGAGTTTTCCTTTGGAAATCATTGGCATGTTCATATGGCTTTTGAATGAGATTGATAAAGCTTTGCGGCACTGCACTCGGTAGTGCTAAAGCAGTTTTTAAATATTTCTTGTTACCTGCCTAGACGATCTTTGATGGTTATTGGTATTAATTTTAAGGGTGTAGATTAATTCAAAAATGCTTCTAACTGAATCTGTGATAAATATTTCTGCGTCTAGTTTAGCACCATTCATTTTTAGTAAATATTTGATTGTATGTGTAATTTTTAATTTACTATTAATTACCAGCATGCATTACTATTAATTAACAAATATATAAATTCTTAGATTTGCATAATTGGCATATTACAACAGCATTCTTTAAATACTTCAAAAGAAATGTTGTGTTGCCAAACCAGTTAAAGATAGATGAAGAAGTTGTTCTTCAGATGATGTAACTGTACAGATGACAAACAGATGTCACTTTAGAACTCTTTGAAAGCAAGTGGTTGTTATATTCTTTTTACTTAAGAAACATACAGGCTGAATTGTGATCATGTTGACCTTTAGTTTGCTAGTGTGTACTCGTTCTTCCTTGAAGACTACTGCCGATTGACTTTTCTGCTAACTGTATCTTAATGTGATGCATTCCTAGATGGTTGTAAGGCGGTTAGCGATGTTGATGAGTAGATCTACTTCGTTGTTTTTTCCTTTTTTACATTACAAAACTTCGTCCCTTACAATGTACTCTTTTGTTTATGAAAACACAAACTTGGTACCTTGTGGGCACCAGGAGATGCGCCACACACACACACATTGCGTGTGTGCCTAGGCTGAAGCAGGTGGTTGACTTAAGGGGCCACACCTCAAGTCTTTGACGTGAATTCTGATCCACAAGGCAGTGGAGCTGCGTTCTCATGGTTTCCGGTGATTAAAACAGGTTTACATGCCATTCGATCCTTTCGGATTCTAGAGCTCATGTACACCACAGTTTTGTAATCAGGGTTTTCCACCAGTCTGGTTATAAGCGCCAGACATTCGCATTCACCCTTTCACTCTTGTGCTGCTGCTGCTGCTAGATTCAACATAGAACTTGGCACCGAAGTGCAGCAGTTCGAGTTGCTACGTTCCAAATAGCACACAAAGGTAGACAAGAAGAGGAGTGAAGAGAATCAATAGAGTTTTGACAAGTATAAGAGTGAAACAGAATGAGTAATGGTAGAAAGGAATATGAAAGATTACAGAGACTGAATACATCTGCGTAAGCCATTGACAACGATTTTGAGCCATGTCACCTATTGTCTCCAGTCATTGATTCTTAGAGTCCCGAGGGCGGGCCCCAACCCGGAAGTCTTCATCTCCCTATTTGACTCAGTTTAACTGTCAAGGATTTCATGGATTGATGATGCCATGTTTTTGTTTGGCCACCACTTACTCTTTTCCAACCTTCACCTATATCAGCTAGTAATGCCCGTCGGGGGA